AGCCCCCAGCACAGCCCACAGCAAAGCCCCTCTCGGGGGTCAGGCAGCTTTGCAGCAAGAGCAGGCAGGGGCCAGAAGTGGGTGCCTCCCCTCCGGGGACAGCCAAACTCTGCCAGGCCCCCCCCCGGCAGCATGAGTGCAGGGCACTGCAGGCTCCCGGCGGTGTCCCCCGGCCCCACGTGTGAGGGGCGCGGGATCCCCCGAGGGTTTCCTTCTCCCCAGGCCGTGTTAGCGCATCCTCTGCCCATGGGTGGACGCTCAGCTTTGCAGAGGGGCTGAGGGAGGGAGGGCAGTCGCTTGGGTGATACCCAGTGGCCAGGCTGCCGGTCATGGGTTTGGCCTGCCCTTCTTTTGATGTCCCATGGTTGCACTCTGCCGGGTGGCCTGGGGGATGTGTTTCAGTTTGGGAACCCACGGAAGCATGACTGGCAAGGAGGGGAAATGATGAACGGCTGGTACTGTTGGAAGCTGTGGGAAAGGGCCCTCCTGGAGACCTCCCTGGGGGATGTTTGGGAGCGTTCAGCCACAGCTCCACTGCCGATTTGCCCAAGGGGGAAAGCATGATGGGATGGGCTTAGTCTCCAAACAGGATTTAGTCAGCCGTGCCAGACGTTTGCACAGAGCTGCACATTCCTCCACGCCAGCCAACGACTGTTGGGCCGGGCACAGACTGGGGCCGGCACGGCCGTGAGAGCTCCTGGGGCTGTGTTTGGAGCCTTTGCCTCTGCAGGTGGCCATGTGCCATGGTCCCCGTGGTGCCGGTGGCCACAGAGCCCGCCTGGGGAGCGGGCTGGCTGGGAGAGCAGGTGGGTGCCTTGCCCCTGCCCTGCTGGGCAGGGTGGGCAGCCTCCGGCTGCAGCGGCGCTCCCCAAGAGCTGGAGCATGGCTCTGCCCACTGATGGGGAGCTATGGCTTCAGGCTATCCCTCCAGGCTGGGATTCAGCCATCCTCCAGAAAGGCTGCTTCTGCCTTTTAGATGGTGCTTGGAGATCCAGGGAGCCGCTGGGCACCTGGCTCCACCAGGGTGTGGATGGGCTTTTTTTGGGGGAACAGGACCACACAGCGGCTGCCCCCCCCCCTTCCTCCTGCCAGGTTCCCTCGTTCCCAGCTGCCTGCAGCTCCCCCATGGCGTTTTACAAGGGTGGCTGGGTGCCAGCCGGCTCCTTCCTCAATGGCTCTGCTCTGTCACGGAAGTCTGGTGCTGCCAGCCAAGGAGCGGGATGTGCCCCTGGCACTGCTTCAGTGGGCCGGATGACCTTGACTATAGTGTGGCTCCCTCTGCCCACGCCAGCTCCATCTTCCGCCAAGGACACCTGGTGTGAGACCATGACCGGGTGATACTGGGTGCTCAGAGTGGCCCATGCCCCGGGGCTGCCATTTCTGAATGCCACAGGGCGTTCCTGCCCGCTGCCCACGCCAGGGGTTAACCCTGGCCTCTCTGGTACAAGTGGGACCCTGCACTGTGTCTTGAGTTTACCCAGGTCTCAGCTTGGCCCCAGCAGGTGGAAACTGCCTGCTGCAGGGGTAACATTTCACCTTTGCCCAGTGGCTGCACAGCTGTCACTCAATAACTAGCCACCCAGCAACTCTGCAGCTAATTGGTGTCATTAGGCAGTAAATGCTTGTAAGAGTAAGCAAATGGGTGGCTGGAGCTGAGGAGAGGGCAGCAGCAGTGCAGGAAGAGAAGGAAGATGTGCAGGGTGTGGGGAGGCAGGCAGAGGGATGGGGATGGAGGAGGGAGAGGGAGAGGGAGGGAGCAAGCGAGCAAGGGAGCGAGCGAGCGATTGCTGTGGGAAGGATCGTGCCCAGGAGGTGGCAGGGATGGGAGACCCGAGGGAGGGATTGCTGTGGGAAGGATCGTGCCCAGGAGGTGGCAGGGATGGGAGACCCTCAGCAGTGGCTTGGGCAGAGGGGTTTGTGCCCCCCTCACAGGCCTGCCAGCTGGGAGATTCCCCGCATCCCAAAGATGCTGCTGCCCCATGGGGCACCAGGCCCTCCCCTCCGGCAGTCTGAGAGGGGCTGGAGCTTGACTGGACCCCACCACCCGCACCAGCCCCCGGGGAGGCTTGTGGGTGTCCTGGGCCCCTTGCTGAGTTGCACCCGCCCAGCGGACAATGGGGTTTGTTTCTGCTTGCCCAGCTGGAAAACACCCACGGCCCTGCCACTGGGCTGGAGGCGCTCGGGGCTGAGGCCCTTCTCTGCCACGTCTTCAGGCCGTTTGCTCACTGGAGCTGCGAGTGCTTTGGGGGTAGCGGTGTCACCCCATTGCAGCTCAGTGTAATCAGCAAGGAGGGATGCTGAGCGTGGGGAGGCGGTGAGGCTGATCGGCAGCAAGTGCCTCCCTCTCCCCTGCCTCTCCTTGCAGGTTTTCACCCAGGGTTGCTCCTCTGCTGGCAGCGAGCTCCTGCTGCCCTCAGCCCACTAGTGAAGAAGTCACAGGCAACTGCCTGACTTTATCCCAACAGGTCGGGTCGTGCGAGGAAGCAGAGGGACAGCAGTGTGCTGGAGATCTGCGTGGCTCCCTGCGAGCGGTGACGTGCCTGGCTGGATCTCCGTGCCACGGGCAGAGCTCGGGAGGGGTTCGCAGCCTGCTCCTTCCCCATCTCGTCCCAGCTAGGCTTAGGCCATCAGGTGAGCATCACCCCCGCCCTGCCACCTCTCATTCCAAAACGCAGGGCAGGGCACTGAGGTCCTGGGGAGTCACCATCAGGAGCCCCGCAAACAACGACCAGAGAACTCCCACCCCAAAAAGGGTCTGCCAGCAGCTCTGCAGCCAGGACCCTGCTCTGGGGTCAGCCAGGGCCAGTGAGGGAACAGCAAAATTAAAACGGTCCCCGAGCCATTCGCTGATCTCAGCAGCAGGCTGAGATGCTTTGTTGACTGTCAAAGCATGCAGGATCGTTGCAGTCTCATTATAACTGGATTCCCAGGAGTCTGTAGTGTTGTTTTTTTTTCCCCATTGGCTAATAGGTTAATAATCTACTGGCACTTGACAGAGGTCCAGCATCTTCTGTGTTTCCCTCCATGTGACTGAGTAAAATGCCCCTTCTCCTCCTTTCCCAACCCGGCTGTGCTCCGCTGCCTTGTCACACATGCAGAGAATCGGATACGGCTGCTAATCTGCTTGCCACCCCACTCCTGCCTGCCTGCTCGGCCTTTTAAGCACACTGGCTCTCTGTTTCTCTGCTCTGTGGCACTGAAGGCTGGCGCAGAGGCTCTCTGAGCCGAGCCACCGATGCCTTCCTCGGGGACGGGGTGGGCAGTGCCCGATGGAGGGAAATGCTGTCGCTGTGGGTCATGCTTGCAAAGGGAAGGGCCATTTTGCGATGGAAAGGGGAGCTGGACGGCGTGCAGCCCCCCCGACCTCAGCCCTGCTGCAGGCTGATGGCCTCGCTGTGCCTCAGTTTCCCCTGCCCCTAGCACAGGCACATTAGAGGGAAAGGGAAATCTCATTGTAGAGGAGGAGGGCTGGCGGGTTAATTAATGTATGTTTGCAAAGTGCTTGCAAATCTCCAAGGAAAACGGTCGACGAGGGTGCCAAGTGTAAAGGATCCTGGAAACACTAAGTGCCTGCAAATGCTGCCTAACTCCCGAGGCCTTAAAACTCAAATACTGCCCAAGAGGCACGGAAAATATTCCTTCAGCTCGTATGATGCATTACCCACAGCCTGGAATAAATCTCCCTTTTTGCTCTTGCTTTCCAAACCAGCTGTTTGTTTGCTTTCCCCTTTTGGATTTCATCGCTTTAGCTGAAGCAGGGAATTGCTACAAGGGGGGGAAAAAAAAGCAGCTTTTGTGAAAGCTTTGGCAGCAAGCGTCTCTGAAGGGAGAGCGCTTCGCCTGTTTGTTCTGCCTGTTACACGCTAGTTTTGAGCTGAGTGTACAAATTGGGCTCCAGGTGATGGCCTTGCAATGCCTGTGGCACACGTTTGAGGTTTCAGAAAGAAAACTTGAAGGGCTGGGCAGCTTGAGCCCCATCAGCATGTCCTGGGGAGCATGTCCATGGGGCTCCCGGCCTTATGTAAGGGAGAGGCTTTGCTGGCTGCCTTCCTCTGGGAAAGCAGGGCTCTGCCTTCTCCCTTTGCTCTGGGGAGCGCAGCAATCTGCCAACAGCAGCAGCGTATTTTGGCACCACGCTGCTGCTTCGAGGATGGAGAGGGTAGAAGAGCAACAAGCCCCTGGGCCCTGCTCAAGGCTGCCTTTTCTCCTTGCCCAAATTACACAGGGGAGAAAGATCTAGCTCTGTGTGTTGTACTGGTGTTGTACAGCGGTGGGCCTGATACCAGGGCTGGGTAAAGCACCATCTGTTTCCAGTTTGGAGCAGAAACTGTTTCCGTAGCTGTTTGCTTCTTCTGGCAGGCTTGTTACTATACTTGCAAAAGCCAACACGATAACATTGAGAGTGACTTGGGAGCAGAGGGCTCTGCAAAGGCAACGCATCCCATCAAGATGAAGCAAGGCAGCTTGGCCCTTCAGCAAGGGCTCGTGTTTGCAGGGTGATAAGTGAGTTGTCACCGGCCGTGCGATTTGTCACCTTCCCTCACAGAGGAGGTGTCATCCCCCTGAGACAACACGCTGGCGTTGGTGTCACGCAGCCCAAGGACCATGCATCGCTCTTGAGGGTGGATGTGCTCCCTGGGGGGCTGAAGTGCCTCTCCCGAGACGAGACCCTTTGGTGAAATCTCCCCTGTCCTGCATCAGCCAGGGCTGGATTTTAAGGAACTCTCCCAGCCTTAGCTTTTCTCACTCCACGGTGTCTTGCTCGCTCCGGGTCTCCTGCTTGCCCGAAGGAAAGCATCGTTAGAGCCCGTCCTGCAAGTCGGTGGTGGGTGGGAGCACAGGTCTGCACGCAGAGAAGCAGCTGGAGGCCCGCGCTGTACTTTGGAGCTGGAAGCTGCCTTTCTCCTCGCCTCCCATTGGGTATGCTGCTGGCCTCCTGTCTGCCTGCGGTCACCAGTGGCTGTGACGCTGTTCAGCGCTAATGGATTTCAAACCCCATGTCTCCACTGAGAGACAGCTCTACTGAGAGATGTTGATTCCAGTGCTTGGGAGTGGCTGTGCGGACAGGACCAGAGCTGTGAATTAGAGAACATTTAATCCCGTACTTTGGGGATGGTAAGTGCTACGCACCCCGCTGCTGAAAGCCTGGGGTGAGGCAGCGGCTACACCCACCCCATCCTGAAGTGGAGACTTCCTGGAATATCCAGTCAAAGGTAAATTTTGTGGTGTTTCTCCTCTCGATGGGGTCTGAAGCCCTTAATGGTGCTGAGAGCCTTGTCTTGGCTTCTGGAAGCGTGGTGGCGGTTTGGCTGGGCACCGCTGGTCTGGACCTGTGCTTGGGAGTCCCTGGGGGATTGGTTCCTGCAGCTTTTAGCCTGTGCTGAAGTTGGAGCTTATATAGAAAAATAAAATTGTAGCGATGCTCAAATTTTAGCTCAATGCTGCTGAGCAGTGAGTGTGGACATCTCGAGGGGAAACACGGGGCCCGAGGTGCCATGGGATCGATGTCCTGGGGATTTCCACGGGGGCTCATAGGGCTTCATAGGTGAGAGCATGGCACATCTCAAAGCTAGAGAGGAGGCAATGTGAGACATCCCAAAGCAGGCGACCTTACTCTTCTGTTTTGCTTTTTTCCCCCTTGTCTATTTTGAAGTGATCTTGGTTCATGTTTTTCCCTTCATGCTCAGGTGCAAGGAGAGGAGAGTGGAGGAGAGGAGAGTGGAGGAGAGGAGAGGAGAGAGGTTTTGCCTGTGTTGCAGCGCACCTAGAAGATCTTCCAGATCGGAAAGGCTTAGGGAAACTAGGCTGAAGAAAGGCAGGCCCAGGGCTTGGATCCGTCATTGCCTGAGAGATGCAGCAATCTCCTTAACTGGAGATGGGAGCTTTTAAATTTAATTTTATCTGATATGAATCTTACATTTAAGACAAGAGCCTCATGTCTCATTATCTGACAACATTGCCTGCTGCTCACTTCATGTTGTCAGTGCACCCTGCTATCTGACCCCAGAAACCCATAACTGCAACAAGTATCTACCACCAGTGCAGAGAGATCCAGCGGCAGAGGCTGCTACCGAGCAGGACAGCGAAGAAGTCGCTTCCTGAGGGTGACACTCCGCAGTGTCACCACTGCGTCTCAGAAAGCACCAGTAGCTGTCTCATCCCTGTCCCCACTGCTTTTTTCTTAGGCTTTGGGGACTTTTTGCTTACATGGCAATGTTTTGCAGGTCTGTCTTAAAATACAGGCTTGGTGCTTGGATTCTGCAGGGCAATGTGTGTTAGAGATCATCTCGCTGAGAGATAGTGAGGATGGGAATCTGCCAGAGTGTTTGGGGGTGTTTTAGTTTGTGATTTTAATTTCTAACCCAAACTGATTGCTGTCTGCAGAGAATTTTCCAAGGCTGTTTATTAATGGAGCAAACGTTTTCGCAGTCGAAGCTGCTGCAGGGACTTCCTGGTGCCGCTGCGGCCGCACGGCATAGGTGAAGGGAGAGAGCCGAGAAGGGCCCTGTGCTCCTGGCAGAAGCACGTTGAAACACTGAGCTACATAAAAAAAGGTTTCTACAGACCGTTTAACCACCCGGATACAAGGTTGAATTCAGATGCACTCCCCTTTGCTGCGGGACAAAGTACCCTGAGTCCTGCTCCACCTTGGCACTTAAGCAAAACAACAGTCTTTTATCACAGTGGAGTAGATATCTATTCCGGAGAGATAGGAGTCTGGAGACGGGGAGCCTGAAAAAAAACAGCTTAGAGTCCACACCTGCCCTTTGGATACTGGACACACACGATACTTATATCCTCTGGATACAGGGGAACTGCTAAATTTTCAGAGGGGTCTGCACATCGTCTGCCTTCCCGGGTAGCACCTGCATGAATGCACCGTGCAAAAAGCTGCCTTCAGTCCTCTCTGCAACCCAAGATAGTTTATATATATACACACACACACACTCGTGTGTGTGTGTATATTTACACCCATAAGTGGTGACTGCCAGCAGAGAGGGTTTTTGTCTGGATTAGGATGCAGTGTGGGGGACAAGTGATGGACCTAGCGAATGGGGCTAGTTCACTCTCCATTTAGAGCCGTAATATAATGTATAGCTCCCTTTAGAGCTATAATATTTACTAATGTATGGGTATTAATGCAAACCCGGAGCTGAGTGCAGCTCGGGAGCATAGGGGGGTGGTGTTGCTCTCTTTCCACCAGGGCTGGGCATTGCTAAAGCAGCTGAACCCCGAGCTGGGTGTTTCCTCGCCGGCTGCGGAGCGCGGGGATGCAGGGAGGCGCGGAAAGAGGTGGGGGGGAGCCAGGGGCGGGCGA